GACTATAAACCTATAGATGCCATCGTTATTTTCTTTTCTTAGGATTAGACCCTTACACTTAGTCTGCATTGCATTGCATCTGCCACTTCTACCACATCAGGCTATCCAGGTCAACCTGTAGCTTTCTACTGTCCTCTTCAGAAATTATGACTACTTATTTTAGTATCTACAAACTTATGTCGTTTTGCATTCTTTCATCTGAGTCGTTTATGTAGATCGTGAACAAGGATCCCAAGTGACCTCTGTGGGACACCACTCGTAACGGGTCCCCATTCAGATTTTTCTCCTCTAATGCACGTTTTGTTGCCTGTCGGTCAAGCCTCGGCTCAGGAGATAATTTCTTTTATACCATGTGCCGCTACACTTTTAACGAGTTAATTATGTGGAATTTTATCATAGGCCTTAATGAAGTCCATTTAGACTAGACAGTATCGAATTCTTCATCTTGGTCTCCCGCCACGAATATTTTGTTAAAAAAAAAAAGTTTGATACCTAATTTTACTGCTAGGTAGGCAAGAGTTTTGAGCCTTGGACCTTTTGGTCATAGAAAGCTAACATTTATATCTCTTCTCAAGATGAAGATTAGTTAGGTTAAATTGTCGTTTATTAGGAAAATTAACCAACAATAATCTATTAAATGCAATATATAAACGCGATAAAAAATTTTAAAGCGATAACAGATAAAGGAGATTCATGGAGCAGACTGAAATACATATTAAAATATAATCGCGTTCTCAAGAACGTCGGATGTATGACGTTTGCTTTGGAGGATGTACTGACTGGTGTCGGCACTTGAGTTACTACCTCTGGAAACGGCTGTCTTGAAGACTGGAAAGGTAGAGTAACCCTGGGAGGAGTTACCGAGGCCATCGCCCCAGCGACCCGGTCTCACACCAGACCAAATTAATGGTCTGTTCAGTCATTCAGTTCCTGCTCGCGGCACGCAGTCCCGCATATACACTAACACTTAGCTGATCAGAGGTTGAGCAATTTCTCGCGTTCCTTCTAATATAGGTAGCGAGTTTATTAGTAATTTATTTGAAGAGGGTGTTGAAAAACCTTGGACCCTTGTATATTTAGTTACCTCCAGGTGTACTTCCTTTCAAGGATTGATAGATGGGGGGAGGCCTTGATGCGGTTGAAGTGCTCGCGATTCGGGGAATTTTAGTTAATATTCTTTTTTTTTTTTAATGAAACCTAACTACCTCGCATTCCGTAGGTGCTGTATGTTTTTTAGGGGTTTAGCTCTTCACCGTGTATAAATTAAGAATTAAGGTGCATTTATATTGCGCCTTTGCTTCTGTGTGTATTTTATGCTCCGGGGAGTATAGTTTACGAGAATTTTCAGCATTCCCAGTATTTTTGGAATTTGAATTTGTAGTTTCCTAAATCTGCTCTAAGGCTGTTAAAATAATGTATAACCGCATTTCAGTATAGGGTTGAAGTGCCTTTGGCTTTGTATCACTAATGGTTAGTTATTTACCCTTTTTAACTTTGGTTATTATGCGGACTTATTTTCAGGTTTATTGTAGCTATTTTTTCGTTGAATGTTAGCTTCAGATATGGTTAACCCTAAGTTTTTTATATAGTACTTGTGCATTGCAAAGTGGTTTTGATTTTGTACTGTTCCATTTTTACAGTGTTTTTTTTCATTGTGGAGTAACCCACATTTGTCCGGTTTGAACATATTTGCTTCTGTGATCTACTAGAAGACTGATTAACCTCGGCTTGAAGTTTTATGTCGTTAATGGATAGAAAACGAAAAATAAAGCACAATACCATGACTAGAACAATACACAAATAACTGCACATAGAGAAGCTTGTGACGACGTTTCGGATTGAAACGTCGCCATAAGCTTCTCTCTCCTATGCGCGGGTTATTTTTTGTATTAATTGATGCATGTCATACAAATTTTAGTATTGTTTATAAATTATGTTGCATTGCGACATGTACCTCTTTCAGACATGAGACAAGAGCATTGTGGCGTCTTGAATACCTTTTCACGCTATACGCTTGCCTTCATTCTAGTGACTCTGTGTCTGACTTGTCAGAAAGTTGAAGATACATCGCCAATCATTATTAGTTATTACTTTTGAAGTATTTTGTGTGGTATCGAAGGCTTTCGCATTTTCTTTGTCATCTGTATCCATACCCATGTAATGATCTACCATTGCGAGTCACAAGCGTCCTGCTCTAAACGCCTGTTGTCCTGGGTGACGTCAGTGCCATCTGATTTTTGAGAATGCTTTAATGCCAGGTTTGTGAAGTCGGTGAGATCAGGTTTTTTTTTTTTTTTTTAGATTATGCCTAATACTCGACCCTCCGTCCGCAAATGGTGAGACGGTACCTAGCTGCACCTGAGAGAAAAAAATAATGGTCAGAGTGGTGGTTAGAGCTCGACACCTATGTGTCAAGTCTCTAACTGTGTCTGCTCTCTGCTGTATCTCGTATTCAGTCGCCCCAGTTTGATGATGACATCTGCGTGTAGTCTCAACTCACTGCTGTATCTCGGTGTTCGGCCACCTCATGTTTGATCATCCTGGTATGTTAATGAAGGCTCCCAAGCCTTCAGAGACGACTCTCAGTCACGTCTCCAGCAAACCTAGAATTAATCTGTTAGCACAAATATGTACGAGGGAAATTGGCCGTGTGATTCCTGCCTCTAATTATAACCTGTGTAGAGAGGTGTGTTAACAGCTAGTGCTGTACTGTGGGTAGCATTGTCCCTCCCCTCAAAACTGGTGTAGAACGATGCGGACTACAGTCCGCCCTGCAGAACTTGTAGAAGGGTGTGGGCCGTAATTCCCCTGCCCCTCACAATACGCAGGAAGGGCGGGGCAGTCCGTTTACAAAATACACCATGATTTTGTTTTAATTTGTGAATTAATTTAGAAACGATCGAGGCCAACAACGAAAGTAATCAATAGGTATTTAAAAACTAGGCTGCTTTAGCGAAAACACTCCAAATTTTATTTGTTATTAACCAGTAATTAAAAACATATTACCACAGAGTATCGATTGGCAGCGGGAATGTACCGGCTTCTCTTAATTTGTTGTAAACCATAATTACATATTAAGAGCTAAAACCGTATGGGTAATTCAGGGCTAGGATTTATGGTAGCTCGAGCCTCCGTCAGCTGATTGTTACTTGGTGTGTGTGACCATTTAAGTATACTTAGTTATCTCCAAATACCAGCAATTGATAGACCACCATAACTGCGACATCTAGAGAGACATCCCGGACGTCAAAGGGCATTAAACCAAATGTCAGGTAGTGATGGCGTGTGGGAGTTAGCTAACATCCCTCCTGTATCATGGTGGACAGGCTTTATCTTTCACTCACAGCAACACTACACTAAACCCGTCACTCAGACCAATGGTTGCACTACGCCCCCGTCACTCAGACCAGTGGTTGCACTACGCCCCCGTCACTCAGACCAGTGGTTGCACTATACCCTCGTCACTCAGACCAGTGGTTAGTGCGCACTACGCCCCCGTCACTCAGACCAGTGGTTGCACTACGCCCCCGTCACTCAGACCAGTGGTTGCACTATACCCTCGTCACTCAGACCAGTGGTTGCACTACGCCTCCGTCACTCGGACCAACAAGAACCATACACATGCCTAATGCCAGGCTACAACCAGCCCAAGTATATTTATTACCCTCGTGGTAGAGACTTTTCGTATGTTTGTATCCCTCTTAGAACATTTTCTAAAAATAGTTATATTAGGCACTAGGCAATAGAAGTTTCAAGATGTGTTTTCATATAAAGAAGTTACCCGTTACCGATTTCGAGAGTAGTTCTAGTAATTCTGTTCTGAAATCCCGATGTGGGGTTATGCTTCACTGTTTACCGTCTGATCAACTCTTTTAGCTCTTATGTCTTGGGTTACACTTAGGTCTTGGGTTACATCTAGGTGTTGTGTGGGTTTAAGTTGTAACACTTAGGTCTTGTGAGGGATAAAGATGTGTCAGTGGTGATGAAAAAAATTCCATTTATTATTTTTTTTTTTTTTTTGCAAATAAAGTAGGGGAAAGAATCACATTGTAAAATAAGACAAATAGATCTTGATGTTAAAGCCTACATATTAAGACATCGTATTCGGTTCGGTTGTTTACCTGGAGGGCATTCCGAGGATCAACGCCCCTACGGCCTGGTCCATGACCAGGCCTCCTGGTGAATCAGGGCCTGATCGACGAGGCTGTTACTGCTGGCCGCACGCAGTCCAATGTACGAACCGCAGCCCGGCTGATCTGGCACTGACCTTAGGTATCTATCCAGCTCCTTGAAGACAACCAGAGGTCTGTTGGTAATGCCGCTTATGGCTGGTGGGAGGCTGTTGAACAGTCTTGGGCCCCGGACACTTATTGTATTTTCTCTTAGTGTACCAGTAGCGCCCCTGCTTTTCACTGGGGGTATGTTACATCTAGCCTGCCAAGTCTTTTGCTTTCGTAGGGAGTGATTTCTGTCTGCAGGTTAGGGACCAGACCTCCAGAATCTTCCAGGTGTAGATTATGATACATCTCTCTCGCCTGCGCTCCAGTGAGTACGTCTAGTGCTTCCAGGCGTTCCCAGTAGTTAAGGTGTTTGATGGAACAGGCTATACTAGGTTAGATTATTAGGCAATACTAGGTTAGGTTGTGTTAGGGTATACTAGGATAGGTTGTGTTAGGGTATACTAGGATAGGTTGTGTTAGGGTATACTAGGATAGGTTGTGTTAGGGTATACTGGAATTGGTTGTGTTAGGTAGGGCGTCCAACATATATGCAGTGCAGGCTGAATGCGGCCCGCCTGCAATTTTTGCCAAATACTATGTACTTAATTAGCCTATTTTTGAATAACAGGCTGTACGTTACCGTTATAAAAAAAAATCACGTGGCCCGCACGCACACGATTTTTTTTTAAATTAATTTTTTCCATGCCTTTTATCTTTAAAATTGTATGCACCAATTGGGCTTTGGGGCGATTGTCATGAATGCGCTCTTTCTTCCCCTAGCGGTCAAACACGGCGGCATTAATACGAGTGTAGCAAGTCATCGCTTGGCCTCCATGATCGAGAAGGTTAGTTTAGGACATTATGCACACACTCCGACCGATGGTCTGTCATAGGGCCAACGGCTACCACATTCTCAGTTAAGTTAGTAGACACTGCCTTTCATAGCCGCTCACGTCAGCTGATACTTCCTGACGCCCCCACACAGGCTGGCTACTAGATTCTCATCTGTGTTTAGTAGACACCACCATTTATAGCATTGGACGCCCGCGGTTGCTTCTTGCCTCACCTGCAGCATAGAACCACTGGCTAACACATTTCCACACAAATAACCCGCATGTAGAAGAGAGGAGCTTACGAGGCCAGTCAGATACTGAGAAAGAGGAGCACTGCAAGGGAACTGGTGCTCCTCTTTCTTAGTATTTGACTGGCCCCTCCTATTCTTACCACACTACTACTACTACTACTACTTACTACTACTACTACTACTACTACTACTACTACTACTACTACTACTACTACTACTACTACTACTACTACTACTACTACCACTACCACTACTACCACCACTACTACCACTACCACTACTACCACCACTACTACCACTACCACTACTACCACCACTACTACCACCACTACTACCACCACCACCACCACCACCACCACCACCCCCCTCCTCCTCCTCCTCCTCCTCCTCCTCCTCCTCCTCCTCCTCCTCCTCCTCCTCCTCCTCCTCCCTATATATATTCATCCTACTCTCCTTTTCGTTAGCGAGACTTTGTAAATGATCCAAGTCGGACCGGAACGTCGTCGTAAGCTCCTCTCTTCCATGTGCGGGTTATTTGTGTATTGATAAATTAGACACGTGTGCGACTCTTGGGTATCTTTATTGAGGAAACGTTTCGCCACACAGTGGCTTCATCAGTCCATACAAAGGAGAATCTTGAAGAACAGGAGGAGAATGAGGTAATCAGTCCCTCAACCTTGAGTCGATGTGGTCAGTCCATCAATCTTTAATAGAATAGGTATTCTATTGTATGGACTGATGAAGCCACTGTGTGGCGAAACGTTTCCTCAATAAAGATACCCAAGAGTTGCACACGTGTCTAATTTATCAACATGTCGGTTCTCTGAACCATTCATCTATTTGTGTATTGTACCAGTCACGGTATTGTGCCTTTTTGTTATTTATTTATCACATTCCCATTTGTTAGTAGACGCCCACGACTGCTTGCCTCGCCTCCGACTTAGGACAAAGGGCTACCACATTCACGTCTGTGTTAATAAGACACCATATATGTATATATAATTATATTAGTGTTGCAGAGAATGGAATCCTAATATAAGTATGGAGGTCCTTGTCTCAAACACCAGGTGGGAACCCACGATCCTGTAGGTGTTTCCTCTCTGGATCGCCACATTAAGGCAGTGGAAGAGAAAGATGGCAGCCCTCCGGGAAGGGGACGACTGGTTTCGATGAGCCTCAAACCCATCTTGAGGGAACCCATGTCATGTATGTAGGTGACGGGGAGAAATCTCTAGATTTTTTTTCCAAAAGTATATTCTCTTCTTCGAGGTTGTACATCCTCAGTTATCGTTAGTGTGTGTGTGTGTGTGTGTGTGTGTGTGTGTGTGTGTGTGTGTGTGTGTGCGTGTGCGCGCGCGTGTGTGCGTGCGCGTGTGTGTGTGTGCGTGCGTGCGCATGTGTACGTACTGCTGAATAACCCAACCGTGTTTAGCGCTTCACGAAATACAATTTTCAGAATAATTCTAGAAAACGACGTCGTTCAACCATAGGTTATATGACAATAATTATTCCTTAGAAAAACAGTGGGATTATAAAACATTGGGGTAGTACACGTTAGTAGGGTATGAACATTGGCGGGGGCCTGTAACTTTGTTTGGGGGGGGGGTATGAAACGTTGGACATACAAGTTTGAAGATAGGAAACATTCAACATAAGAAAGAACACTGCAGCAGGCCTACTGGCCAATGCTTCCCGGTGCTTGGGTTCTTAAATATTAAATTAAATAATCTTCGTTTCTTCATGTACAAGGTATATAGGCTTAGCTAACATCAGTGACATACTATATAGAATTCCCCTTGTTATGCAAAACATTTCGGGCAAATCAGGTCAGTTTTGTCCTCAGGATGCGACCCACACCAGTTGACTAACACCCAGGTACCTGTTTCACTGCTAGGTGAACATGTAAAGAAGGCGTCTTAAGGAAAACAAGTCCTAATATTTCCACTTGTACCGGGGATCGAACCACGGACCTCAGTGTGTGAGCTGAGTGAGCCAGCAATCGAGAAGGGGAGGGTAACCATTTTTTGTTTAGTGTTGATGGGGGTGCTGGAAAATAGTCAAGGATCCCAATGGAAATGAGCCATTTAGACTTTTTTTGTTATCCTAGGTAATTTACACTATGATAATTGTACGTGTGTACCTGTGCCTAAATATACCACGTGCAGCAGTTAGGCATTAGTCTTTAATTATCTATTTGTCAGTAATGTGTACCATTATTATAATGGTGTTTATGACAATTTTGTAGAGTGGGGGTACCAGGTGGTAATTATACCTACCTGTTAGGATCTAACATGGCCTTCTGAGAAGATTTTTTTTGTAAATATTTGAATATTCGAAAGTTTTAACATTCCTCTGTAGAAACAGCAGATTGTGAATTATTCGGGTCAGTAACAGATGTGGGTTATATTTTAATCAAAGAAAGCGCTAAACCGACAAGGGTCACACAGGTAAATTATGGATATGCTTTATTCTGGTTAACTACATAGTTATGCAGAATATTATAAGCTATTTTAATGCTTGCAATCAAAACATTTAACAAATTATTGTTAAATTATTAAATATTAACTTAGGATAATCCCTAAATTTATTAATTTGTTTACATTGGTTTTCTTAGGTTATCCTATATATTCCTAAGTTTTAATAGGTAATTTACACGTTACCATATATGACTTCGTAAGACAAATGTGAAAACCTAATCTTGTGTAATGTAACTGAATTAACTTGCCTACTAATTAGGTTTCTTAATTACTTGTCAACTCAGCCCATCTACTCTTGTCAGTTATTTTGCCATACCGACTATCTTCTTTCAACATTTATGGTTTAAAAAAGGAATTGGCTTGTGTAGCAGAATATGAAAGATTTGTATTTTGATGTTTAACGTACAGAGGGTGACGGTTGATCCCATGTATCAGAAATCTTGCCTACGAGGATAGACTGAGGGTCCTGAATCTGCACTCTCTGGTAAGGCGTAGTATTAGGGGGGATATGATTGAGGTTTATAAATGGAAAACGGGAATAAATACAGGGGATGTAAATAACGTACTAAAAGTATCTAACCAAGGTAAGACTCGCAGCAATAATATCTTTATTTCTACAAGTACATGTACAAGGTATACAGGCCTAGCTGACATCAACGACACTACTACTACTATATAGAAAGCCCCGTGTTATGCAGAGGTTTTCGGGCAAATTAGGTCAATTTTTGTCCCGGAATGCGACCCACACCAGTCGACTTACACCCAGGTATCCATTTACTGATTGATTGACATGGACAGTAGGTGGCTTAAGGAAACACGTCCTAATGTTTCCTGCCGTACCGGGGAATTGAACCCCGGACCTCTGTGTGAACTAAGTGCGCTAGCGATCGAGCTACGGGTTTCATGTTGGAAAAATTGAGGTTCCGAAAGGATATAGGAAAGCACTGTTTTGGTAATAGTTGTGGACGAGTGGAACAAACTCCCTGGTACCGTCATTGAAGCTAAAACCTTGTGTCGTTTTAAAAACAGGTCAGGCAAATATGAGAGTTACTCCTTTGTATGGACTGATGAAGCCACTGTGTGGCGGAACGTTTCCTCAATAAAGATACCCAAGAGTTGCACATGTGTCTAATTCAACAACATATCGGTTCTCTGAGCCATTCATCTACAATCCTGTCAGACACTGCAACATCTTGGGATCTTAGTACTTGGGAATTCTTCACTTGCCTAACCCTTGGGCACGACCTACTTCCACATTGGACAATTGTGACACCACCTACGACTGCTGCCCCTCACCTGTCTACGGTTTATAAGCTGCTTCTCCGCTCATATGCCGTATTCTATTCAAGATTGATGGACTGACCACATCGACTCAAGGCTGAGGGACTGATTACCTCATTCTCCTCCTGTTCTTCAAGTTTCTCCTTTGTATGGACTGATGAAGCCACTGTGTGGCGAAACGTTTCCTCAATAAAGATACCCAAGAGTTGCACATGTGTCTAATTCAACAACATGTCGGTTCTCTGAGCCATTCATCTACAATGTGAGTGGGTGTGAGTTGAACCTGACTGGCTTGCTCTAGTGGGTCTGATGCAGTGCTCAATCCTTCTTGAGTGGATGTGACTGGCACCTGACTGCCTTTGGCCAGTAGCTTAGGCCGGTAGGTGACTTGGACCTGCCTAGCATGGGCCAGTAGGCCTGCGACTGTGCTCCTTCCTTATGTTCTTAATGGTCCGGTCCCCTAAAGGAAGGTTCCTTGATGTTGGTGAGGGACTCTTGATTTAGGGAATTGGATCTGTGCTCCAGTTCCCCGAATTAAGCCTGAATGCCTTCCACATCCCCCCCCAGGCGCTGTATAATCCTCCGGGTTTAGCGCTTCCCCCTTGATTATAATAATCTTGTAATAAAGTTGGTAGAATTACCGACAATATGTAAAGTAAAAGGACCCAAGTGCAACTAATGTGACATTTTGTTGTGGCAACGTTTCGCTGCCTCTTTCCAGTCTATATTTACCTGGAGTTTACCCGGAGAGAGTTCCGGGGGTCAACGCCCCCGCGGCCCGGTCTGTGACCAGGCCGCCTGGTGGATCAGAGCCTGATCAACCAGGCTGTTACTGCTGGCTGCACGCAAACCAACGTACGAGGCACAGCCCGGCTGGTCAGGAACCGACTTTAGGTGCTTGTCCAGTGCCAGCTTGAAGACTGCCAGGGGTCTGTTGGTAATCCCCCTTATGTATGCTGGGAGGCAGTTGAACAGTCTCGGGCCCCTGACACTTATTGTATGGTCTCTTAACGTGCTAGTGACACCCCTGCTTTTCATTGGGGGATGTTGCATCGTCTGCCAAGTCTTTTGCTTTCGTAGTGAGTGATTTTCGTGTGCAAGTTCGGTACTAGTCCC